CCGGACGCGCATTTCCTCATTCTGCACCCTCTTTAATCCCCCTCTGCTTTGCTAATGAGTTCACAAGAAGCCCATTTTCCTTTCTGGAAGCTGCGACATGCCTAACACAGATTGGGGGACTAAATGAATGACGTCTCCAGCTGGACATACTTTACAGCGGAGCACAGGGTTCATAGAGCAGGTTGTACGGAAGGCGACGCAGACAGCTCTAGGCCTCCCGGTCAGATCAGACCCCTCTGTCCCAGCCCCACCGGGAAACGGAAGGAAGTCAAGCTTCACCTGGACTCCCAGGGCAAGCTGGCCAGAGGCAACGCCGACTCCTAGGGCGTCTCACCCCCGTCTAGATTGCCCCTGCCCTCCAACCTGAGTTATGTCATTTGCTTCGCAGCTGCCCAAGCAGCTGGCATCTGCTACATCACCAGCACCTACGCCAGCTGTACCCTCGAAGACATCGTTGCTGCTGCCCCCAGAGGCCTCCGGTGGTTCCAGCTCTATGTGCAGACTGATCGGCAGCTGACCCAACAGCTGATCCAGAGGGCGGAGTCCTTGGGTTTCAAAGCCCTGGTAATCACTGTGGACGCACCCAAAACTGGCAACAGGCGACAGAACATTCGAAACCAACTGGACTTGAAGAAGATGTTAATGCTCAAGGATCTTCGATCACCTAAGGAGGTAGGAAAGACACCGGCTCCAATGGGCAGACGTGACGGGAGGTAAATTCCCGTCCCTCGCTCCTCCCATCTTTGCTTCCAGGGGATTCACCAAGTGCCCACTCCATGTCAGACACCAAGGTTGCAGCAGCTGGAAAATCAGGTCTGGTCTCCGCTCCCCAGAGCTTCCAGACAAACAGAATCTTAGACAGAATATTCTCACTCCTGGAGCTGCCCGACTTGTCACCGGAAGTGTCCCACGACTTGTCACCGGAAGTGTCCCACGACTTGTCACTGGAAGTGTCCCAGCCAGGGCTGATGCTGGGAAATAGGAAAGCTACAGACAGTAATTTTGCATGGATTAGAGAGTTAACTAGACACATCCTTCCAACATTTTCTGCTTTATGGCACACTTAGAAAGTGATCATTTTGGATGGCACACTTAGATAAACTGACCTTCCGAAGAGGCTGCTCACAGCCAAGGTGACCAGCCCATGGAGTGTAACCAGCCCAGGCCCCACCCTGCTGCCTTGGAAATGGAGGGGTCAGTATCTTCGCACACCTAGATTTCGTCCCTGGAGAACCAGGGTGCTGCAACCTACTTGTCTGGTATCTCTGACTAGGTGACCGCAAAGGGCACTTCGCCCCTTACAATTCGAATCAGACGGGATGGTGTACCCCAGAGAGAGGAAGTCAGGGTCAAGTTGGGATCCCGTGGCTGCAGTAGAGAGAGTGATACCAGCCAGTGGGCGGCCGCGATGCCCAGCCACGTGATTCAGCCATTCTCATTAATTCATTATCTCGTACACAAATGGCCTTGAGGTTTCCGAGAACCCTCCTCTCAGATGCCAGGGACACATTGGAATTTATGGATATTTGATGCACATGGTGATCCAAACAAATGTTGGGCAATTACCCAAACAAAGATTGGGTAATATTTGTTTTAGGATCCTTGAAGTATTGTTTAGTTCTAATTACCCCGTGCGTATCTCAACCATACACATTATATTGGCCTATAAATGCCTTCGCTTATCCATCTCACTGACTAAACTCTGAGTTCTTTTAAAGTAGAGATTGTATCTTATTTATCTTTTTGTCCCCAGACCCTGGCACAATGATCGAACAGGGACACAACTAATAGTTAATGAATAAGCAATCGAAGTGGAAATTCTCTTTGTTAGGAAAAGGAGCGAGAAGTAGGGTTGATTTTTGTTGCCTCTCTTTTCAAGCTTATACATGTCCTTTCCACTTACCGTTCGGTGGCTCTTAAATGTGTCTCACCTTGGGGATGGGTCAGGCAGTTGCGAAGGAGCTCAGAACCAAGGTTCCCTTTGATTTCCCATAGGGAAATTCAGCGCCCCGTCTCCAGATGTCTCTCATTGACTCATCCTTCTGCTGGAACGATCTCTCCTGGATTCAGAGCATAACTCGCCTGCCCATCATCCTCAAAGGGATCTTGACAAAAGAGGATGCAGAGTTAGCATTGCAACACAAGGTAGATGGCATCATCGTTTCTAACCATGGCGGCAGGCAGCTTGATGGCGTTCCTGCTTCTGTAAGTAGGATGACTTCAGAGGGGTTGTGTTTGTGAGTGGTGTGTGTCCGTGTGTGTATGTGCATGCACGTGCGTGTGCGTGTGTGTGTGTGTGTCCAGCACAAGGTATCCTGTGCAGTTTGGTGCATATTCCCTTCTCCCTTACCACATATGTCGGTATACCCACGTGTCGTCGTTAATGACAGCCTAGTGTGTGCCAGGCTATTTTTACGCACTTTACATATATCATCTCTGAATCCCACAGCCGTCCTGCAAGACGCCTATCACTGTCCCTGTGTTACAGATGGGGATCCTGGAGTTTATAGATGTTAAGCAACTTCTCCCAAGTTGACACGTTTAGTAAGTAATTAGGTGTAGTCGATAAGAGATGGTCCCAAAGCACTGAGGTCTCCTGCCTCCTGGAGGAAGCATCCAGCTCTCGCGCCTGTCTGCATGGATTGTCACCCCATATTTTCTCATAGGACACATCCCAGGAAGGAACAGTGCATCCCTGAAGCTAATAAGTAACCATCTTTCACAATAAAACTTTAAAAATGCCCTATAAACTCTTTGCTAAAAATTTACGACAGTCGGTAATTTTTCCCCTAACTTAGGAATTATGTCCGTCATAGATGGAGTTTGGGGAAAGGAAATGAAGAGGAAAGAGGCAGGGAAAGAATCTTTAAATAGAGATTAATTGTTGATTTATTCTCAGGAAGATATAGAGTTTGTATTTTTCAAGAGACTCTTCCATTGCTGTTTGACTCATTTTAAGAAAGGGGAGTGGATTTTTTTTTTTTTCTCTTAAGTGGTTTTGGCCTTTTTATAACATATGTAAAACGTACACTGCAGAAAAATTACAAAATATACATAAGCAAAAAGAAAAAGATAAAATTACCCCTGTTTTCATCACTATCATTAATGTCGACATTTTGGATATTGGTTTATCAACTTCTTAATACAAATATAACATTTTAGGTTTAAAAAAATTATACAAAATATTTCGGAATTTTCTTCTTTTCACTTATAAATATATTAAGGACATCATATAATTTCAATATATATGCTCTTATTTTTAATGATGTGGAATTTGAATAGACTTTTTTTTTTAAGATTTATTTTCCAATCACAGTTGACCCACCTCGGTTTCAGGCGTACCGCTTCGTGGTTAGACATTTACGTAGCTTACGAAGCGATCCCCCGGTTAGCCTAGCCCTGACGTGACAGCATCCGGAGCCATGACAGTATTGCTGACCGTCTTCCCCATGCCGTACTTCACATCCCCACGGCTGCTTTACAGCTGGCAGCCTGTACTTCTTAATCGTGAACCAACAGTCTATATAACCCGCTTCCTGTTAGTGAACATCTGGATCGCTTCTACGCTTCCGCTATTTTAAACGATGCATCAGTGACCGTCCTTAAAGCGTTAGCACATTCTCAATTCCTTCTTTAAGACAAATTGCAGGAAATACAAAAGCTACATCCACTGGTTTGTATATTCCGAGGCTTGTGAGGCTTGGAGGTCTAAGGTGCCAGCCACTGGCCACCTCCTCTCCACTGGGCTATCACTGAGAAAGAACTGGCATTGAGCGAGGAGCCCACACAGAGAGCGAGACACACTTTCCTGGGGCTCCCCGAAAGAGCCGATGGAAGGGAACAGTCAGGCCCCTTACTTCCATCCGGATCTTGATCCGTGAGACTAGGAGGCCACCTCTCATACACCAGCCCTGTGCCACCCCGGCGGTGCTTCCTAGAAAGCTGCAGAAAGCAAAGAAGACCCCATGACCCACACGCAGGGGCTGGGGCCCAGCGTTCACTCATAAAATGACTCCAGTGACACATGGCACAGAAGGCTTTCTCGTGAAGCGGTCTAGCTAGTCTTGCTCCCTTGGGGAGGATGGAGTAATGAGTGGAGAATGAGGCCAGCTGACTTCCCCACGGCACGCCCTCGGGAGAGAATGAGTGTTCACAAAGGTGGGGCCGGAGAAGCATTTCTCCTACCCCATTATGCCGACCAGCCCGTTTTCTCCCAAGCCTTTGACCTAACAGTCAAACTCAAGGTCATTCAGGGAAAGCACCAAGACGACTGTGAGGCTAACGAGGTACCTGCCTCTGGCTCGAAATTTAAGAAGGTGCCAGAAAAACTTAGTAAAATCCATAGCGTTTTAACGCACTATTTAAAAAAGGGAAGTTTATGCAAAAATTGCCAACGTTTTAAATGAAGACAGGATTCGTCTCCACATTTGCAGAATGCTGCCTCTCTCATCTCGCCGTAATCCTGGCCCTGGATCCAATAAAACTTTATTTGTAAAAGAAGCTCACAGATCAAAGTTTGCCATTTAATTTTAAAAATATTTTCTTTAAATATCATTCATCTGAGTTGTTGGCACCCCTTAAATTTCGTGCCTAAAGAAAATGCCCCCTCTCGGCCCTCTCAGCCCAGCGCCCTCCCTGCGAGGGGTGTCACTAAGGTTCCATATCTAACACGCCCCGTGTTTCCTCTGGGACGGGGTAAAGGATGAGCCAGCTGTTGTCCCCAGAAGGCTCTAATGAATGCCTTGTGCGACCTGTCCAGAATGAACTCTAAAGCCATCAGCGCCCTCGGCTGCAATTCACTCCTCTTGTTTTCTGGACGCACTGCAGAAACAAACACTGGAAGTGGAAAATGTCCCTTTTAGGATGCGAAGGGGAACCAAGAGTTCCTTCCGAGATGTCAACATCCGAACCAGTGAGCCAGGGAGAAGCTGCCGTCCGTCAGAGCGGGAAATGGCAGAAGGGGCAGCCACGGAAAGTCCCCGGGCCTCGGGGGCAGGCTGCACTGCTTCGCCAGGCGCCAGCAGCCTCAAGCACAGGAGGGGAAGGAACAGTTAGACGTGGCCCCTGCTTGGGCTTCCTGGTCCCCGCCCACGGTGAGGGGACACCACGCTCCCGCGATGCCCTGAGAGTCGAGCCACACGTGTCTCTGCTTTTCAGGTCGATGCCCTGCCAGAAGTGGTGGCCGCCGTGAAAGGGAGCATGGAAGTGTACATGGACGGTGGGATCCGAACCGGCAACGACGTGCTGAAGGCTCTGGCCCTCGGGGCCAAGTGCGTGTTCCTGGGCAGACCCATCCTGTGGGGTCTCGCCTACAAGGTGAGGCTGGCGACTTGAAAACCAGCCGAGGGGTGCCAACGCTTAGTATTCGTCTTCACCCTTTTCTGTGGTTTGATCCCCAACCCTGGCCGTTTTCAAGATGCCACGGATTCTGGAAGGACAGTTAGTTATACCTCCTGCGGCACGTTGAAAATTCTCAAGAGCTCTGGCCCCTTCTTTTCTTCCTAGCTAGCATTCCTTTATTCCCAGCATAGCTCTCCTGTCACCGATCACCCCACCCTCCCCCCACATCTCTGAGCACCCCCAGAATTTATTCCCAGCACACGCCAGACTGTTCCTTCACGCTCCTTTTTGTCTCCCCACCCCCCCTGTCTTGTGAGCAGGGCGAACATGGCGTTGAGGAAGTTTTGAACATGTTAAAAGATGAATTCCACACTTCCATGGCGCTGTCAGGTGAGTGTGTACCATCATTTGCCTGATTTGGAGCTGGGCGCAGGGGGTCCGCGGGAGTGCCACCCCCCACCCCCAGTGTCCTCTTCCGCAGCCCCTGGGCTGACAGGAGAGAGGGCAGGAAAGACGCACCCCAGACGGAGATTCGAGATTCGGCACGAACTCCACTTGTGACAGATCTGCTACGACAGCAAATGCAATTTCAGATAATAAGCAAGAGGGCTCCGTTTCACTCCAGGCTGTTCAGATCACATCAGGCTTGTGAGATGTGGTTCTCAGTGACATTTTTAAGTGATATTCAAGGACCGTGAAGAGTCGCGAGATTATGTCAGAGAAGAAGTACGAGGAACTGAGGAGGGAGATGCAAACGGGCGGAGAGAAAGAAAAGTATCATCCTGCACAGCCGTAGACAGCAAGACTGACGGGAATGTCTCGAAGCTATGTGGGGGTGGATTTCGGTCAAAAATGGTTGCAAAGCAGTGTGCATAAAAGCTTTTAAGTTTTTAGCAAAGCTTGGAACGGTGGTTCTCAACGAGTGGCGGTAACTTTCCTCTTCGGGGGCGCTTGGTTTGGGTGTTTAGTTTATATTTTTCTAATTCTAAATGACTCAATTCTAAGGGCTCCAGTGTCACCGAGTTCGTCCCATGAAAGACAGGAGGGCACACACGTGGACAGACAGCATGCTGGTGGCATTTGCCCCTAGAGCAGCAGCGGGGAGAGGGTGGGAAGACCCACTGTGGGCTTCTGAGGATTCCAGGAGGTTGAGGTGACTTGTCTTGCTCCCCCAAATATTTTCTCCCACCCTTGTAAAATGACGTCTGAACTTCTTTTAACGGAAGCTTGACGGGGAATTGACAGGGCCTTGTCCTTCCACTAGAAGTTAACGCTTAACTACCACTGAGATGTAAATGGTGGCTGGAGACCCTTTTTCTGAGAGAGAGTGGAGAGCACCCCCTTTTAAAAGGGACAGGGCAAAAAGAAAGAAAAAGCAGGATGGTGAGAACTTTTATGCCTGGCTTTTCATACTCCTCTTCCTACTCATTGTTCTGCAATGAGAATACATTGTTTTAAACGTATAGGAAAAATTAGTAATCACAACCAAACATGGGAGAGAGAAGGGGGTTTGAAGAGAAAGAGAAATAGGGCACCGAGGCAGAAGGGCAGCCCTCAGCATCCTCTGTGTAAGAGTCACTCCCCCAGGTTCCGCTGGGGAGACCCCAGCCTCATCCCTGGGGAGAGGGGATCTCAGGCAGGGGCCTGTGCTGTCGACAAACTCAGCAAAATGCAGACCCTTGGGTGAAACCTTACATATCCTGTTTTAAGCTCTCGCAGCCTTCTCTTCTCCGGTGATGTTTCGTTGTCCGCTTGAGCCCACAGGTCTCCGGCCCATACGCTCACGCAGCAACTCTTTCTACCTGCTCTTTTCTCTTCCTATCTGGAAATATTCTCTTCGGTCCCTGGGCATAATCTCAGCTACGGTCCTAACTTCGAATTTTAGTTAAGATCGTCCGCTACAGAAGGAGGTTTAATTTTTCAGAACTTCTCCCTAGAAGGCAGCGGCTCTAGGAAACACCCCACCTCGTCTGCTCGCCCTGAGTCATTTTCCTCCCTGACAGATACGTCCTACATCCTTGAGCCTGGTTAGGACTGAGATAAAGTTCAAGGGTATCCACCGCACACATGAATTGATTAAAAAAAAAAAGATAAAATGGTATTTTTACATTTTTGTCATTCCGTTGGACATGGCTGTTGAAAAGTGGACGCGGGCGCAGGCTCACAGAATCAATCTCAGTGCCATCAGGACGACATTATTATTCATTCCGGATGCATCGCATTTTATCAGGGTGAAGACCGGAACCAAGTCGGGGCTTGCTCCCATTCGCTCGTCCATGCCCACGATGGGGCGAGCTCCTGGTCCTTCAGAGAAGTGAGCTGTTTAACCACATTGTTCTTTTCAGGCTGCCGGTCGGTTGCCGAGATCAGTCAGGACCTGGTCCAGGTCTCCAGGTTGTAAAGAGACAGGACTACCGAGGCCGCCTGCAGGAGGAAGACCGAGCATGGCATGGTGTGTGACGCCATCCCGCACCCCCAACCAGTGCACCCCCTAAGCTTCCCCCCAAGCCCTCGTCTGCCTTAAAGGTCCCTTGCTTTTCTCAGCCTTACTGCTCTTTATATGCTCTTCTCTTGCCCGAAATCCTCCCCCAAAAGAAAAGATGTTGCAAGGGCAGCTTAGTAATGACAGAAATAGCTAGTGGGTAAAACTTTTTGCATATCCTATGTATGTCTATGAAACAATTATGGACATGACGGAAGAGCCATACGTATAAAATATTCCCCAACGAAAATCGGACTCCTATCTGTAGAAAACGGAAATAATGTAGTTTAAAACATGGGCTCTGGAGCCGTACAGACATGGGCTTAGCAGTCAGGACTGCCACCTGACATGCTGGGTGACTTGCGAGAGTTTTTCAAATAGCCCACTAGGTTGGGAGAACAGTCGAGATGATGTACGTACAGTTCAGAGTGCAATGCTTAGCACCTGGAAGGAGTTTAAGAGAGCAGCTTTCATTATTGTTTGGCAAATTCGTATTTACCTTCCAAGACCTGGCTCAAATATTACCTATTCTTACCCCGCCTACTTGCGTGGCGCTTTCTATTGCATTGTGCACATGTCACTATTACAACCCTCGTTATAATGTGTTTGCTTGTTTTATTTATTTATCTGTCTGTCTGTTTGTTTGTTTGTTTATTTACATGTCTGTCTCCACAAATAGACTCTATATGGTTCCAAGCAAGAAACTGTGACCTGGCTCAAATATTACCTATTCTTACCCCGCCTACTCGCGTGGTGCTTTCTATTGCATTGTGCACATGTCACTATTACAACCCTCATTATAATGTGTTTGCTTGTTTTATTTATTTATCTGTCTGTCTGTCTGTTTGTTTGTTTATTTACATGTCTCTCTCCATAAATAGACTCTATATGGTTCCAAGCAAGAAACTGTATACTTGGTACTGGGCCTGGCATATAGCAGTATCTCCATAAACATTTGTGGGATGGACGGATGGATGGACGGATGGATAGATGGATGGATGGACAGACAGATGGATGGACTGAAGATAAATGGAAGAGAGGAGAGGTGGATTGAAAAAAAATGAATAGAGGCCCTCTCCCCAGGCCAGCAGTCAGCTAAAAGAGACTTCTAGAGCAGGGGCGCCCGGCTGAATAAGATCTGACACTCGAAGACATCAAAAAAGGGCTAAAATTTAAATGTCCTAAATAGATCACCTCAAGACCCATTTCCCACGTTCTCTCTTGCCCCTCGTCACCTTCTCTTCTCTATATAGCAGCGAGAGAGTAGTTCGTTTGCTCGTTTTTAAGTGCCAGCGGAGTCTGTGTAAAGCCTTTCTGTGGCTTCGCACCCCGTCCCGCACGAACGCCGAGGCAGCTCCCCAGGGCCCTGCGTGATCTGCTTCTCGCCACCCCTCCCAACTCGTTTCTTCGTCACTCTGCCCTTCACTCACCACGCCACAGACGTTTTGCCTCCTTTCTGTTCCTTAAACAAGCCAAACTCTCTTCCTTGCCTCTGGACTTCCGCGCTGACAGTTCCCTCTACATAAAATGCCCTTCCCGATCCTCTTCCTTCGCTTGGCTCTTTCGTGACATTTAAATCTCAGCTGAAGTGTCACCTTCTCAATGAGGCGAGATTCCCCCGACTGTCCTGTCGAGAATAGGGTCTGCTTTACTCGGCATATCACCTGCTTCCCTTCTGAGCACTCACTCAGTCGGCCATTGCCTTGTCCTCTGTTATTGTTTGTGTCTTCACCAGCTCAGGGACCTTAATCATTCTTGCTCTCTACATTCCTAGGATCTAGGGCCACACCCGACACCATAGAAAGCTTCGAGTAAATATTTGCTAAATGAATTAATCCAAAAAGGCAAAGCTGGATCGAACCGCATTGTCACATCTGAAGAAATTATAGCAGTTCCAGGGGAAAACAATGAGTTAAGACAGAACCAAGCTGAACGGGTCGCTACCTATGCCAACAGATGTGAAAAGTCTTCTGTCATTCCTAGCCAGACAGTTTTCTGCATAAACCCATGTCATAGTACAGTTCCATGGTTGCCCAGCTTATCCTGTATACCAAGGGCCAGGTCAAGGAACATTAGATAGCATGGAAGACACATGCAGAAGTCTCCCTGGTATAACTCTTAATGCCATAGACAGTTTCCTAACCCAAATGTATGGAGCATGTGCCACCTACTTATTTAGAAAGAGAAAGTATGGCAGTATTAGTCCCGTTGCCTATACTGGGGGTGTACCCAGAACCCAGAATTCAGGAGAAACAAACACCCAGACTCCCAAATCATCAGTCCCTTTGACGCTTCTCAGAATAAAAGATCTTAAAAGGGCACATCCATAATGATTGAAACAGCTAGTGGATTCCATGATTTGTACATCCTCTGCACCTCTATGAAATAACTATGGAAATTTACCCTCTGGAGAAAAGAGGTTTTATTAACCAACAAAAATCATACTCCCTATCAAACAGGGTAGGACAGACCAACCAGACGAAAGAAGGAAGGTAAAGCTAGTGGACACTGTATAGAATCGTGGTCTTTGAGAAGAGGCTAAGTTAGGCACCGTTAATGGCTTGTTAAAAGAAAAAGGGTAGTTGACTATGATGATTGTGTTTGACCCAAACTTTTTATTCAGTTAAAAGTTCAAACCGGCTCCACATTGGGTAGGCTGATGGCCAGTTTGAGGACAAGGAGGGGTCTTAATCTGGCAGCAAAGGTGGGGTGCTTGTGTTGAAAGTTTAGGGATATACAAAGGACGTGCCGTATCCAGGGGCCACTGTCTGTCTGGTACAGTCACAGTTGCATTGGGGGATAGGAAGTCTAAATGACCTAAACGAGGGTCTCGAAGATGACCGTCAACACATCGATTAGAGTGGCAGCACGTACCTTGGAAAAGATGGAAATTTCACACATATCAAAAAGGGATGTGGGGCAGGGGTGATTCTGATGTAGCTGACTCATGCGCCTCTGCAAGGAATCTTGAGAAACTATTTTAGTTCACAAAGCCAAGGCCGGAGACATGAAAGAACGGAGTAGTGAATGAAAGCCTAAAATGTTTGTGTTCATGACCTAGACTGCTACAGGCCCACTAAATAATGTCTGTTCTGCGTAGTGCCCTGACTCCAGGGAAAGCAGAAAAACAGAGTTTTGAGATAAGAGGTTGAGGGACTCTGGAAACAAAATAAAAATAGACTGTCTAACCCTTCACCAACCCTTCACCAACAAGAGAGAAAGGCGAGATCTTCATTTCAGCTATATTGGATAGTTTTGCTGGATAGACGTAGACTTTCTCAATAAAGTACTAAAGAGCTAAACCAATTGAAAAGATCAAAGTCCAAGAAATATTGTTACTCAGAGGTCCCAAGAACATGGACTCTGCTAGTGGGCATGCTGTGGGCGGACTCATGAGGGAACTGCACAACCTAGCCGCTTCGGGGGCAGGTGACCGCACCTAGAATTTGCACCTCTCTGGCCTGCCTCTCAGCCCTCATACCCTGTCACCCACTGGGACTCAGCATCACATTCGGTGGGGCTGGATGCACTCCTTAGAACTTCGCTCTTTGGAATTTCCCGTCTGGATCACAGAACTATGCCTCAGACACCGCTTGTCGAAGTTTCTTTCAATTTGTCCATGAATTTGGTCTCGTTATTCTCTTCACATCCAAAATAACATGAGGCTATCTCAGTACCAAATTGTCCTATATGGTGCAGAAGAATAAATAAGCAGCCATGAAAATAAGGTTCGAAACCAGAGAAATCATTGGTGGAATAACATTCACCCTTCTAACTGCCCCATCGCGACCTCATAAATCACATTTTTTTTTATTTTTATGTTCTGATTTTCTTGCTGGCTGGCGAACATGACATAAAATTCCCCAAGCTTCTGCATAATAACTGTAATTATAGAGACTTCTAAGTAGGCATGAAGGCCAGGTTGGCTTTTCAACCCTGACATCACCAGCTGAAGTCATTCCAGATTCGTTTGGGGTAAGAGTGATAATCATTATAGCGTATGGCATTACAGCAATTTGACATGCAGATAATGGCGTGAGCTTACTTTACAAGAGAATCTAGTCTAAAAATTCATTCTCGGCGTACATATACCTTGATGATAACTGTATTCTTTCTTGATCCTGGACACGTGCATTATTTTTTTTTTAAGTCGCTTTTCCTTCTGGACTCAGATGGCAAGTTCCAAGATCCCAAGGAAAATGAGCAAGGATATTTATTATTATAACTATAATGCCAAAAGGATGGTTCTCATTGCCTCGGCAGTGTAGACAGAGGCATGTTCACACTCATCTTAAGAGATGCATGTTAACCTCAGGCGGGACTCCTTGGCCCCTAAAAATGTCCTGCATTAAAATGCATGGGTAAAGAAGGCAAAGAAATCTTCTCCACTGGAAAGTTTTCAACAGTAAAACAGAATACTGGGTATCTAAAAGATTAACGTTGTTTTCTGATTAAGAGACTCAGCTTTGAAGTCACTCCAGGGTCAGGCTGTCTGGATCCAGGTCCCGGCACCACTGTCCTCAAAATGTTTGGCAAGACTGAAACCTCTTTGTCTTCCACTATCAGATAATAATAGCGGTCTTTTTGGCTCGTCACTGTGAAAATGAAATGACGTGGGGGACTTCTGCGTCCCCATCCAGGACACGAGGAGCTTGGAGCTCTCCACTGCATCCTAACGACCAGGGAAAAGCTAAACAAACTGAAAAATTTACAACTCTTCTTGATCATTCAGAAAAGTGAGGTCACAGAGCAAACCCCTGCCCCCCACATTGGAGAGATAGGCAGACACAGAGAATCACTCACCTGAGCAGGAACCTCCATGCAGACCAGCACGGGGTGCGGGGCGGGGAGGGACCTGAACTGTGATTCCAGACTTGCAGGCACCGTGGACAAGTCTGAGAGTCAAAACCTGCAGCAGGCTCAGCCCGCCAGATCTTCCAGCTGCTGCTTCACCTCCAGGAGGAACTGCACCAGCTTCTCACAGTGAATCAGAGAATCATCCCCTAGAGCGTCCAGGGGCCAGTGAGAGGAACCATTTAAAAACACTCCAGAGCACGGCACTCTCACCAGGGCCTGCTGTCAGGAGCAGCCATTTTAGCAGTGTAAATATATATGTGCCTTACCGTTAAAGTGTACAGCTGAAACCTATTGGATTGAGTTAACCAATGTCACCATAAAAAAATTAATTAACTTTAAAAAAAAAAAAAAAAGAAAGAAAAAATCAGCAACTCTCCTCGGATTCCTAAGAGAGGGGAAGACACTCTGCTCTCCCTGGCGTGGCGAGACGGACGGGCAGGTGGCCTTCCTGCGCCGTCATTCTTGTGGTGACTACTGCCTTCCATTTCCTGTTCATGCTTAAGGTTCTCCAAAGCACTCGGACATCGCAGTCCTTAATTGTTCACATATCCTTTCATTCATTTATTCATTCGGCAAACAGGAATTCAGCTCCTATCACGTGTCAGATACTGTGCTAATCGTTATGGGGATATAAAGATGTATAAGACATAAACGCTTCATTCCGTCAAACGTTCAGTGGTTTTTGAATACCCACTATGTGTCACGCACCGCGCCAGGTGCTAAGGATTCAACAATAAAGGGAGTAGCCCTTTTTTAAAACAATAGAACGACCACCACAATCTCTTGGCCCCACTGGCTTTAACATGAGATCTTAAGGCACAACTTCTTGAACAGGATTTTTTTGTAGTCAGCGCTCGTCACTTCTTTTCATCTGTAGTAACTCAGCGCACTCCAACTGAATTTTCTACCCAACTCTTCGTGAGAATTGGCTCTTCCGGAGTGACTTTCGAACTCGATGTGGCCAAACCCAGCAGTCGGCCCTCTCCTTCATTTTACCTGATGCCTCAGCAACATCCAGCAGAGCTGACCACACTTTCTTCTCGGTGCCCTGAGCTGGCTCCTCGTTCTGTCCGACCTGTCAACGTTCTTGTGTTTGTCCCAGGCTTCAGTCCCGAAGCTTCTCCTTTCATCCATAAACACTCTCTCCCTACAGCGTCCCATCTCACTCGGTGCCTTTGAACGTTATCCTCAGGCGCTTCCATTTCCCAAGTGTACCTCTCTAGGACCGTGGCACGCGGAGCACAGTTGTCCTAAAATGGCCCAATCGTTGAACAAGGTAGCCGAGAAGAGAGAGCCAGCCCCTCTTCGGAGCATGAGGGGCTGTGCCCTGTGGAGCCCGTGGCTCTCTCCCAGGAGAGGGAACTTTTCCACGAGCCACACAGACTCGAGTTTCCCATACAATGTCTGCAAACCACCGACGCTCCGATCCAGGCTGCTGGGCACCCACGGTGCACGTGTTCCTCCGTGGATAAAGCCGCCTTCTTGCACTCGAATGAGACAGAAGCAGAATCAGGGAAGCGACCGTCCCGACCCTGGAATGCACAGCCACAGGGCGGGCCGGCGGTCTCCTGACCCCCTGTGCGTCTGTGCAGGATGGAAGGGTGGGCAAGACACGCCGCCTGTCCCTTGGCTGACCTGTGCCTTTCCTGCGTCGTCCTAATCCCGCACGTTATTGAACCCACACTGTGTCACCCCGAAGAGTTCTTCCCAAACTCCGATGACAACTGGTGGTGACCCAGATGGTGACCTAGATGGAACCCACCGTACATAATAACATGCCCTGACTTTCCCTTTTAAACACATGCGTTTAAAAGGCTGTCCTGAATCTACTTGGCGTCTTTGTCAAAATCAATTGACCATGTGAATTTAGGCTATTAACTCACCACATGCAAAATTTCCCTCAAAATGGATCATAGATCTAAAGGCAAAGGCTAAAACGAAACACTTCTTAGAAGTAAACATGGGTGAAAAATCTTCGTGACCTTGGGTTAGACAGAAACATGAGCGGTAAAAGAAAAAAGAATTATTTTTAACGAGACTGCGTCAGAATTAAAAGTATTTGTGCTTCTAAAAATGTTAAGAAAACGAAAAGATAAGCCACAGGCTGGGAAAAACTATTTCAAATCATATACCTATCAAAGAACTTGTATCTAGAACATAAGATATTCCTACAACTCAACAAGAAGAAGATAAATAACCCGGTTTAAAAATGAGCATGTAAATTAGATTTCGGTAAAGCTCTTTTGAACTTTAAAAAATAAAACAAAAAACAGGTGATATTGCGGTCCTCATATGCTTGCCCGTTATCATTCTCACTCTCCATAGAGTTTATATTCATTGGTTCCACTTTAGAGACTGAATTCTTCTTGCTCTGTTGGCTCTTTGGCTGAAAGCCACTCCAGAGAGACACTAGCTGACATCCGTCAGCCTCTGACACTCCCAGCAGCTGAGAGATGCGCACGCTTCTCTTACGGTGGGCAAAGATGTACAGTGCACCTTGGTGGCCTCAGGTGGGGCCCCACCCATCTCAGCCAGACCGAGGGGCTCCAGCTGGTGCAAATAGCTTCAGAGAGCAAGCTGCTACAACTGTGACGGCGACAATGTTTCCTGAGCAGGTGTGTCCGAGCCACCGGGAGTCCGGTGCCCAGCGGAAGACTTTAGAAGAAAAAATCTGGAGCCTACATCTGGGACTAAAAATCGGAAAGTAGTTGCTTCTGCGGCAGAGATTGCTCTGGCAATTGACTGCGGGAACATTCGGGGTGGAGGAGGCGTTCTCTGTCCTGTTTGCGGTGGTGGTTACGTGGATATATGTAATTGTCAAGGTGCAGTGAACTAAGGCCTTAGATCCGGATGTTTTCATGCTTGTAAACTACATCTCAGTATTTTAAGTGGAGGAAAAGGCAGTCCCAAGGCGCTTAACGGTGGTGGCATTTGGACATTGCCGGGCATGAGCTGCAGAAGCGCCCACCGCATCTTCCGTTCAGGAGCCCGCCGATACCGGTTTGCGACCAACATGCGGGGTGAGCGCAGATGTCTGTAATAGGAGCCACTGTGGCCCGTGACCAGACTCGTGACATAGAACCAGGGGGTCGTCACACGTCTGCTGCTCTTCCTCTAGCTCTCTGGGGGAGTTGGGGAGCAGTGCGGGGGGTGTTTTGCCGGGAGCAGAATCGACATGCAGAATGTATTGGGTGGGAAAGAAAGTCACCTCCCTCAGAACTTAGTGATTGGCACTGCCACCATCACAAATTTGTCAACTCTGCAAGACAGCAACACTTCAGACCCCACTCTGAGAGAGGGGACAGTGGACTGCGGTGCATTCCCACGGCCCACCCCCAAGCCTCGCCCAGATGTCTTCACTTCCCGAGGCTGTGAGTTCACACTGTGCTGGGAGACCGCTCCTAGTGTAAAGCCACGGGCTGGGGATTGCACCCTTCTGGCACAGACGGCCTGCTGTTCTGTCGATGGCAGGACCGAGTGCTTTTATCAACGCTGTGGCCTTGAAGCTGGTTTTCTCTTCCTGAGCCCTGGAGGAATGAGAAGTACGTGGGAGGAGGGACGGAGAAGAGGGTTTAGCAATGAGCGTGCAGTCGAGTCCAAGGTGAAGAGGCGGAGCCAGAAGGAACAGCCTATAAAGCTCCGGGCCTGCCTTCAGCGGGGCAAGGTCTCCGGAACGGCGAACGGCGCGGGCTCTCCTCCTGCTCTTTCCGACTAACAGGTCAGAACTTTGTCGTCCTCTTCCAGCAACTCCTGGGCGGGGAGGAGGTTGGGGGCTTTTGCAAAAATGGAGCAAAGGGAACGAAATGGCCTTTCGCGCGGCTGTCACCACTTGGCCTCCGTTTGGGGCCATCTTCGGAGCCGCCTTCTAACCCATCTCGCTCCCCGCTGCTCCTTGGTCTCCAGGTTTGGCCATGGCCGGGTGGAGCTGCCTCGTGACAGGAGCGGGAGGCTTCCTGGGTCAGAGGATCGTCCACTTCTTGGTGGAGGAGAAGGAGCTGCAGGAGATCAGGGCGCTGGACAAAGCCTTCAGACCAGAAGTGAAGGAAGAATTTTCTAGTAAGTGAACTCGAGTCCCGAGTGTGTGGCTCCCTCTTGAACCCTGCGTAGGTGTGGGATGGGGGTTCTGGTCTAGCAAATTAAGGAAAGTCGTAGCCAAATGAAGGCTGAGCCTACGTACAAAGTCATCGGAAAGGAAATCCCAGACGGTGGCGTGGAAGAGACACCGGGCTGGGCGTCAGGAGCCTGGACTCCGGCCCCAACGCAGAGCTGGACGAGGTGGCTGTCAGCCGGCCACTTCGACCTCCAGGCCCCATCTCGTCCACAAAAATCACATACCGGTTCTCTCCCTTGTCAAAAACTCTTGAATGTTCTGAAGACTTTTGATTCGGCAATTAACGTGCAGCAGCTGCAAAGGGCAGGCAAGCACCGGGAAGCTGGGGACCCCTCCAGGTGTCCCTGCCCCTGTTGCTCACACTGGCCTTTGCGTGGCTTCACGTAGCATCTCCAGTGAAGGTGAAGCTGAGTGTGTGTGTGTGTGTGTGTGTGTGTGAGAGAGAGACAGACAGACAGACAGACAGACGGATTGAGAGGGGTGGGGGGAGTGGACTGGTGGGGCGGGCCAGTGCGCGGCGCAGGAGGAGACACGGGGAGCGGCGGCCGGCGTGCGGACAGGCCGCTGTGGGCTGCCTCATCTTTTTTTTTTTTTTAACCACTTGTCACTGTCCCTCGTCGCCACAAGGGAGACGCCTGCAGACTGTGCTCTGACCGCTCACTGCTTTTCCCCAGATTTCCGCCCCCGACGCAAATGCAAAAGCGAGATTTACGGTGCATTTTCCAACCCGTTTCACCCCCACACCCTCGAAATAAGCCTGTGAGGAAAAGTAGGAAAGGGGGGAACCCCATTTGGACAATGAAGAAATCAAGGTCGTCACAAAGATAATCCTTTGCTGCGGGCCCTCCGGTTAGTGGGTGCCGGAGCTCAGCCAAGGGCCCCATCGCAGAGACCCCAATTCCGTGGCTCGAGGGCTGACTCTTGGCAACGTGGGTTCCCCGCTTACGCATCCCCAAGCCAATTCCCTGTCCGCCTCCCCAGTCCCTGCAGACTGGGGTGTACACGCAGGGCTGGG